GCTGCGCGCGCAGCCTCGGCAGGCCTGCTGGCCGAGCCAGCAACCGACTGTCCGGTTCAGCAGACCGGCGGTCCGGTCCAGACCGGTTCAGGCCGGTTCATACCGGCTGGACCGGTTCAGTCCGTATTTTATTGTTTCAGTCCCGGTTCTTGATTTCAGTATCATTTTTAGTTAAAATTTCTGGGTCTAGTTCAGTTCAGTAAATTAATATCAGTTCAGTTTCGTATTTAACCGGTTCCACTTATACCGATTAAATTCGAATATCATGTCAGGTTCAGTAGAGCATCTTAACATAATTAATCAGTTAATTTATCAGTCTGAGCATAGTCATTAGTAATTGTTTATATTATATTTCAGTTTCGTCAGGCATCAACACTACCTTCAGTTTCACGGATCAGGTGGGGACTCAGACTAAGTACTACGTTGATTATAATTACGCTACCATGTTTGAGGTATGTATTATCAGTATCCGCTCGGAATGGTTGCCGGTCCATTCTGGGTTCTAGTGGCCCTAATCTGCCCACTAGAGTGTGCACATGGTGTCCGGTATTAGTTTGTGCTGGCAGATGTTCAGTTATCAGTCAGGTGATTTATATCACGAGATCAGTATCAGATTATTCAGTACCGGTATCAGTTATCAGTTCAGTTTCAGTTCAGTTATATATACCAGGATCATGATATTGTTATTATTTTCACTGTTTTACTTTAGTATGAGTTTCTGCGGAGCACAGTGTTTTAGTGCTCACGCCCCCACGTATTTCATGTTTTTCAGGTCGCAGAGTCGGGGACGAGGAGTGAGCTGACGAGCTGTTCAGGATATTTTGTTTATATGTATATGTTATGTTTTGGCCACGCTACTATTTCCGCTTCAGTTTTCAGTACTTGAACTCAGCTTTTGATCCGACATTAGTCGGTTAATATATTTATAACCGTTGTTATTATAAGTTTAAAAATTAACAGTTTTTCAGAAAAGTCAGATTTTCACGGTAACACTCCGAATCAGTTTTCGCAAAAATAAATATTTTATTTATTTTATTTAGAAAATTGCAAAAAAGCGCGCTCTGGATTTCAGTAAATATCGGGGTGTTACATGAGACAAAATTTAGCATATAAAATTACGCTAATAATAATATAAAATACACACTTTTTTCTGACAAATCACATAACACACAATTTATAATTAAGGCAACTTTGGGTCATCCGATATTGGCAGGGTTGGGCTATATAACAACTACAATAGCTCAATGAACTTCAAGAAGTTAACTCAGTTGACCGGTTTTAAGAAAATAGCTAGGGTAAGTGGTTATAAACTTGTAGCTCGATGGTGATGACCAATAGGCATAAAAACTTGGGTAGGATGGCTTAAGAGTCCTGAAGCTCGAACATGATGGTTTAGGACCTTATAGCTTAGTAAGGACGTATGAAACATTGAATAGCTTGTTAGACTGTGGTTGACCTCAGGAAGCATCTCATCACGACCTAAAAACCTTACAGCTAGGACCAACTGATCAGAGAGTAAGAGCTCATGAGCTCAGGCATATAGAGTTGGTGTCAGGATGGGTTACTGACCTAAGGTATACTAGACTTGAAATAAGATAAGGAGACTGATTTTACGGATGACTTGAAGAGTTCTTCAGAAAGATTCTATACCGACTTGGAGATAAGACTGGATAAATCTTGGGCAGACCTTGGGCAACAAGGGTAAATCTCGGGCAGACCTTTGGGCAACAAGGGTATTTAGGCAACAAAATCGGGTAGATATTGGGCAACAAGGTAAACTCTTATATAAGAAGGTTTCAAGTATGGAAGATTTCTCTCTCTTTCTCTCTCTCTCTCTCTCTCTTTCATTTCATTACTTACATAATTATCACATTTTTATATTTTGAGAACTGACTTGAGTGTCGAAGGCATACCGCCGGGAACACCCCGACGCATTGCAGGTCCAGAAGGTCATTTAGAGGAAGAAGACTACTTCGAAGCAATCTCGTTGCCAGTTCTACTAGTACAAAAGTTACTTTTTACATCAAAGTGTTTTTCATCGGCTTTGACAAATCATTTTGTGCACCTACTTTTACAAATTCAAGGTAAGTTGTTCCGTGGCGACACTAATTACATGCCAAAAACGAATTTGCCTATCAATTTCTGCAATAATAAATTGATGTCAAGACCCAAGGGAAATAAAAAAAAAAAAAAAAATAGTGTCATAGGGGGAGAATTTTCTTTCTCTCTTGACGTTTTGCCATTTTATTGATGGGTTTAAAAAAAAAACAAATAGTTAGTTGATGATCACATTTTCGCAAACGTTTGCGAAAATGTGAAATGTGAAAGGCTCTACAACTAAGAAAAATTTAAGAAAACGATAGATCTTGTGTTAACAAAACGCATATAGATATCATCAACTAGTCTATCACTATTTCCGAGCAACAAAACGTGTCCATTAAAAAATCATTAACGGTAAAAGCAAAAGACAAGGACATTACTAGTTACTACAACTTTTGAACTACGATAGATCTTGTGTTAAGTCGGGCTAACCATTAGACAAACTTACTATTATTTTTTTTTCAAATTTGCATATTTTTATTAAAAAATGTGTTAAAAAATATCACTTTCACTACAAAAAAATTCTTACATTCCAACGGAAATTTTCCGTTGGAATTTTTTATATTTTCGTTGGAATAGCTATTCCAACGGATATTCCTACGTTTAAAAATCCGTTGGTAAAACGGCCGTTGGAGTAGCAAATATCCAACAGAAAATCCTATGGAAAAAAATTCCTACAGCTATTCCAACGGAAAAAATCCGTTGGAATTCCTTAACTATCCAATACTTATTCCAACATAAAATCCGTTGTAGTGTTTCTCTACTTAAGACCATACATCATATATGACATCCCCCTATATATTAATCCAGAACGCGCTGAGTCTACGTGGCTGCTTCTGGTGCTTCGGACTCATATGTGGCAAAATTACATGCTTCGTTATTAGGCTTGGGTAAATTTTAATTTAATTCTTAACAAAAAATAATTAGGTTCAGATTACCATAAATATGTTGATTATTTATGGTCATGTTACATGTATTAATTGAATTTTAATATCATTCCTTATTATAACTATTAAATTGTATATATATTTTAAAAGTTAATAACTTTTGTATTTTTTATCAGTTTTACATATGTAATATATCTAATTATCTTCTTTTGATGAGCTTCGATTTAACATCCATATTGTATGTATAAAAAAATAATTTATATTTATCTTTATAACAATAATAAAATTATTTTTAATGTTAATTGAAAAAATAAAATTATTTATCAACTTATATATTTATATTTCAAGTAGTTATATGATATAAGTTATAAAAACTAATATAATATAACACATGTAAGTCATAAGTAACACAATCATTCTAAAATATATAATAATATATTTTTTTAAAAAAAAAGTAAACTAAATTTAATAGTTTTCTCATTAATTTTAAAATTTAAGAATAATTTTTTAACAAGCACCCGTTTACACACGGGTGTTGTACTAGTCTTTTTTTTTTTTGGTACAGGGAACTTCCGGTTTCCAGATCCACTGGGGAACCGACTAATCCGGAATCAAGCCGGTAGGACCACAAGGGCGGCAAAGCTCTTCCCCTCAAGAGCGGGGTGTTGTACTAGTTTGATAATATAATTAAAAATGAATTTTTGTTCATAGAGTATCTCGAGTACATTCGTCTAATGTCCCCTTACACAAGATTTTGACTTCCAACAATTGATCTCATACCGAATAAAAAGAAAAATAACCTTATTCATCATCTCTTAAAATCAAGGAAATAAATAGCTCGCTAAAGTTGCCGCTATTTGAGAAATAGCTTTTTTTGGCAGCGTGCCGTTATTTGTATTCATGTGCAATTTAGACGCTAAATCCCGTTAAATCTCCGCTATAACTTTGCTATAGCTACAGTGCCATAAACGTTTTAGCTCGCTATTTAAAACCTTGCTTAAAATCCAAAACACTTCTATTTCTCCCCTGAAATATCAATCGCAGCATGAACAAAACAAACATCCCGAAATAATAGACATCTTTTTTTTTTTTTATCCTTTTAAAGAAAATGGAAATATAACGGGTGTGGAGAACAAAACAGGATCAGCAAATAAGCCCACATCACGATTTCCCATTTATAGTCCGGCCCATCTTCCCGCACGTGAACCCATTCGGCGGCAGGGTCCCGATCTTGTCCACCCCCTCCGCGAACACGACCCCCATCCCCATGTACATGTGCGGCTCTATGTGGCAGTGGAACGGCCAAACCCCTGGATTATCCGCCACGAACCTCACCGCAGTCCACCCGAACGGGTAAACGACCGTCGTGAACCTCGCCGGCGGGTTCTTCACGTTGAAACCTTTCCTATCATCCTCCGTAAACTTTCCTTCCCCATATCCCAGCACCCAGAAGTCGTGCCCGTGCAAGTGCCACGGATGCGCTTCGCTCTTCCCCACCGGCGCCAGAACGTTCGCGTTCTGCAGGATCACATCCACCGTCTCATTTGTCCCGAACGTGTATACCATGTCGCCGGTGGTCGCCGCCGTATTTTCCGGCGGCTTCGTGATGTCGTACCCTCCAATGTATTCTGGCCAGTCGGGTAGTGTCCGGCGGTCAAAGGCATCCGGGATGTTGTTCTTGATCGCGGCGAGGTACGGGGTGGTCGGGAGGACGAGGGAGATGTTGTTGAGGGCCCACTTTGTGCGTCCATCGATGAGGTTTTGAGTGTTGAGGAGGACGAGCGTGCGGGGTTTGGAGGTGGCTGGAGGGGGTGGGTGAGTGGTGTCGTCTCGGGCGAGGATTTGTTTGGAGAAGTTTTTTGCGGCGGGGAAGTCGTTCCATAAGGGGGCGGGGGGTGGGGCAGAGCTCGGGAGAACGCTGGCGGAGTTGGGGGAGTATTGGAGGAAGGTTAGGGCTGGATGAGTTTTGGGGTCCCGTGCTACGACTGCGACTCTGATCCAATAGTTTTGGGTCGGGTCTTGGTTGGTTCGGAGGAGGATTGAGTAGGTCTCGCCCGGGTAGATGTATATGTTGGACGTGTTGAAGGGTTGCACGTAGTTGCCATCAGCTTCCACCACCTCCACCATGTGGTTCTTTTGGTTGGGAAAATGTGAATGGAATGTAATTATGTGAGTATTGACATTGGAAATATTGGGGTTGGGGAGAACTAATTAATGTGATAGAAAAAAGAAAGAGATTCTACGGTCCCGTTATGGAACTATTCAGTCGGAGTTTGTAACCGTTGGATCAACTAGCCACGACGGTTACAAATTTCGACTTAATAGTTCCGTAACAAGACTATAAAACATTTCCATTTACCAGAAAATATAAATTTGGTTAATTACCCCAAATGCCAAGTTGAGTGAAGCCAATGAGGTGGCGCTTGCTATTCGGAACCTGTAGGTCTTGTTTGGGTCCACCTTGAAAATGTATGGCGCGTACGACTCACTGCCTCTTAGAGTGCAAGCTGTGGTATTGGTTTCATATTTTGCCGCCAAGGAGCAATTGTACTGTCCTCTCCCATTAATCAACAAGCTCTATCGGCAATAATAATAATAATAATAATAATAATAATCCAAATTAAGACCAAACTTTTTAGCCAAATTGAAACTTATTTAAGTAAATTAAAGAATCTATATTTGAAATACTCTTTGAGAAGATATATATGGAAAATAATAATAATAATAATAATAATAATAATAATAATAATAATAATAATAATAATAATAATAATTGCATTATAAAATATTACTTTTAATAATTACTATTTTTTTTTTAAGAAAAAATGTCATTTTATTTTAATGGTAATATATATTCCTGCATGCAGGCCAATTAGAGAAATTATTTGGCAATTGAATTTGATTGTCATTGTTGATAATAAACCTTTGATTGTGAAATTATCTGTTGCAATAAATAAGATAATGTATTTGATGTAATTATTTTTATTAATATTTTTCCACATTCAACTACCACATACCAAATAATATATTTTGGATGTTAATTTTGACCAAATTTGACATAATTGGTAACTTTTAGTTTCTAAGAAAACATTAAGTTTTGTGGACTTCAACAAAAATTCCACATAATATTCAGCATTCTTCGCAAGACTTTCAGGGAAATTAAATAATAATAATAATAATAATAATAATAATAATAATAATAATAATAATAATAATAATAATAATAATAATAATAACCAACCGTGTCATCTCATGTTGGACTAGGAAATGAGAAGCAGACAACTTTTTATGTCCCTGTATTAGTCAAAAATAACTTCAATTCAGCAAGATCTCTTGTATTTCAAAAAAATTGATTGCCTTGTTTTGTTATTTCTTCACTCTTTTGGACAAATAAAAAACATACCTTAATTAAGTCATAATGCCAACTTTAATTGTTAACTAGTATTCGATCATGTGCATTTGTACAGATGCAATACAAGTATTATAAATTATTTATAAGCATATAATATTAAAATTAAAAGCTAGATATTGATATTATAATTTAAACATAGAGTATTAAGTTATATTTATACATATAGTATTAAAATTATAAACTAGTACAACGCCCGTGTATTACACGGGTGCTCGCTAATTTTATTTTCTTAAAATTTAAAATTAATGAGAAAAAGTAGTTGAAATTTTAAATACTCTTTTTATATAAAAATAAATATTATATATATTTTAGTATG